GTGAATCATAGGTTCACGCAAATAAGAGTACAAATTTATACAATAGTACAAATTCTCAGGAAAGTACATACCCAAAAATTAGGCATCCTGTACTTATCAGGATGGTATTTATTGGTGGTTTTTCTAAATCATTATGAAAAATACTCCTTTTCAAATCAATTTTCATGTGTTAATCACCCCCCCCCACCCGACAATATTTAACAGCAATTTATATCTCACACTAACATGTGTATTAGCTTATACAGTGATCTTCCAGTGGGTTCCCTTCCAACCCATAGCAACTCTAAGTACAACAGAGCAAAACATCACCAGGCCCAATGCCAGCACCTTCACAGTTGTTCTGATGTCCGAGCCCAGTGCTGGAGCCACTGTGTCCGTCCAGCTCCTCCTTGTTGCCGCTCTACCAGGGCAGGATGTCCTTCTCCAGACACTGGGCTCCTGACACAGAGCTAAAGTACGGGAGACAAGTCTTGTGATCCTTGCCTCCAAGGAGCGCTCTGACTGTCCTTCCAGGACCTATCTCTTTGTTCTTTGGGTAGTCTATGTTACTTTCAGTATTTTTCACCAGCACCAGAATTCAAGTGGATTGATTTTTCCTTGATCATCCTTATTCAATGTCCAACTTTCACATGCTTATGAGGCAAATGAAAATACTGTGGCTTGGGTCAAATGTACCTTAGATCTCAAGAGTGACATCCTTGTGGGGGAGCAGGTAGGGAGGGGAAACATGAGGAGCCGATGCCAGGGGCTTAATTGGAGAGCAAATGTTTTGGGAATGATGAGGGCAATGAATGTACAAATGGGCTTTACACAATTGATGTATGTATGGATTGTGATAAGAGTTGTATGAGCCCCTAATAAAATGATTTATTTTTTAAAAAAAGAGTGACATCCTTGCTTTGCAATACTTTAATGAGGTTTTGTGCAACAGATTTATCCAATGCAATAAGAGGCACTTAATCTCTTGACTGATGCTTCCATCAGCATGGATTGTGGACCTAAGCAAGATGAAACCTTTGACAATGTCAATCTTTTCTCCACTTATCATGTTACCTATCTAGTTGTAAAGATTTTGGACCTCTTCATATTGAGTTATAACCCACACTGAAGGCCGCAATCCTTTATCTTCATCAGCAAGTACTTCAAGTCCTCCTCACTTTCAGCAAGCAAGGTTGTATCATCTGCATATTTGCAGACTGTTAATAAGCCTTCCTCCAATCCTGATACTATATTCTTCTTCATGTAATCCAGTTTCTCTATTTTGCCCAGCATACAGATTAAGTATAGTGAAAGGATACAACCCTGATCTACACGTTTCCTGATTTTAAATCATGCAGTATTCCTTGTTCTGTTCACACAACTGCCTTTTGATCCATGCACAAAGTATACATGAGCACAATGATGTGTCCTGCAATTCCCATTCTGTCAATGCTATCCACAGGTTGTGATGATCCACACAGTCAAGGAAATGCCGTCCTGGTATGCTTTGCTTTCAGCTACGCTCTATCGGATGTTAACAATGCTATCCCTTGTTCCACATCCTCTTCTGAATCAGACCTGAGCCTCTGGCAGTTCCCTGTCAATGTATTGCTGCAACTATTGATCTTCAGCCAAATTATATTGCCGTGTGATATTGATAGTGTTCTATAATTTGCACAGTATGTTGGAACCTTTTTGGGGAGTGGATACATTGGCCAAGCACCTGTCCTCCAAATTTCCTGGCATAGATCAGGAGACATTTCAGTGGGTACTATCAATTCCTGGAGCCACATTTTGGGCTAATGCTTTCAGTGCAGCTTGCCCTTCTTCCTTCAGTCCCATATGTTCTTGTGCATATGCTACTTCTTAGAATGACGGAAGGTCAACTAGTTCTTTTTAGTACAGTGAATGTGTAACCTTTCCATCTTTTGATGTCTCTCCTTCATTGTTCAATATTTTCCCATAGAATTTTTTTTTTAATATTGCAACTTGATTTTTTTCTGGAGTTCTTTCAGTTTCTTTCAGTTTGATTTGTTCAACATGTTCTACCTTTTTGGTTTTCTAACTCTAGGTCTTGGTATATTTCATTATATTTTAGCTTCTCAAGCTGCCCTTTGAAATTTTCTGTTCAACTCTTACTTTGTAATTTCTTCCCTTTTTGCCTTAGCTACTCTACAATTAAGATCCAGTTTCAGTCTTTTCTGACATCCACTTTGATCTTTTTTCTTTCTTCCCTATATTTTAATGACTTTGCTTTCTTCTTGCACAATGCTTCTGACATCAGGTCTTTTGTCATTAGTGTTCAATGCAGCAAATCTTTCTTGAGATGTTCTCGAAATTCGGGTGAAATACAGTACTTTGGTTTTGTGATTTGTTTTCATTTTCTTATGCTTAAACCTGAACTTACATGTGAGCAACTGTACTGTCTCACAATCAACCCTGGCCTAGTTTTAGTGCTGACATCGAGCCTCTCCATCAGCTCTTCCCACATAGATAGTCAATCTGACTTCTGTGTATTCCCTCTGGAGAAGTCCGTGTGTATAGTCACAGTGTTGTTAAAAAAGTATTTGCATGAGCCAGTCACGGTGCGATGTAACAATGATGAGAAATACAACCTTCCTCTAGTTCCTAAAGGTTTCCTCCCCGCTCCCACTACCATGACTCGAATTCTATCTTGCAAGACTGGCTAGACCAGAGGAGGTACACTGGTACAGATAGGAACTGAAAATACAGGGAATCCAAGACGGATGAGCCCTATAGGACCAGTGGTGTGAGTGGCAAAACAGGGAGGGTAAAGGGAGAATGGGTAGGGAAGAGGGAACCGATTACATGGAACTGTGTGTGACCTCCTCCCTGGGGGACAGACAACCAAAAAGTGGATGAAGGGAGACGTCGGACAGGGCAAGATATGACAAAATACCCATTTATAAACTATCAAGGGCTCATGCAGGAGGGGGGAGCCGGGAGGGAGGGGAAAAATGAGGACCTAATGTCGGGGGTTTCAATGGAGAGAAAATGTTTTGAGAAACGATGTACAAATGCGCTTTACACAATTGATGTGTGTATGGATTGGGATAACAGTTGTATGAGCCCCTAATAAAATGTTAAAAAATAATAATAATAATTTCAACAAAAAAAAAAAGTATTTGCTATGAAGAAACAGTTGGGTCTTGCAAAATCCTATCATGCAATTTCCTTTTGCTTACGAAAAATACTAATCAAACCTTCTCTGATAATTTATTTTTTATACCACCATGTATATTAGTTCACACTTAGGCCCAAGCACAGAATTAACCTCCTGGGGAAAACAGAACCAAACTACACACCCCCGTGCTGGGTTCCCTCTTCCCGTCTTCCTCTCCTTCCTCGCACCCTCCTTTGGCCAGCAGTCATGATCTGCTGTCAACCCTGTTCTGGCTCTACTTTCCCCGTTTTGGTTTAACATATCACATGGAATATTTCTTCTCCAAAGCGGTTTTTTATCCTTTTCTTCTCCCCTCCCTACATTCATGGGCCAGTCCAACAAAATACAACATGAGAATTTTTCAAGCTAGGGGAAACATTTCATTTTACTGATGAGAGAGTGATTATAAATTTCAACTTTCTAATTCCACCCCCCCCAAACTTTCAATTTTACCTCACCACAATGCACTGAATTCACATTCTAAGATAGGAGAATGAAGAACAAAGGTCCTGGATCATTGGGCTCTTAAGTCTCTAGAATCAGACATCCACTCATTTCTCATCCCTTCTCTTTTCAAGTAACACCACTGTAGGTTCGATACATCAAATCCAGTTACAATCTTCCAGAATGGGGCTGGGGGACATGCTTTTCATCCTGCCAGTAGAAGTAAGCCATGTCTTGTCTCAAAGACAAAGAAAGGCCCAGAGAGGGAGATGAAAACTAAGAATTGAATGGGAAGGAACGAGGATGGAGGAGGAAAGACAATGCAACCCTTGTCCGGCTATAGGGCAGGAGCAATGCTGCATCCACATACCCCAAGCAGATGCCACATCCAAGGATCCTTTCTTACCTGTCAAAGCTGGGCTCATAAGACTTCTCGAAACCAAAGCCACCCATGCAATGTTAGGCTCAACCACTAGGACCACTAATAATGGTTAATTTTATGTATCAACTGAGCTAGGTGACAGTTCCCAGTGGCTTTGCCAAACCTAGACTACCTGCTATCCCACAATGTAATTCTAAGGCAATATAATGTAATCACTTTCCATAATATAATATAGTCTAACTATCAGTAGAAAGAAGAGTTTCCTAAAGGGGTATTCTACCTACAAGCTATCTATATATGTATAGCCTAGAGGCATATATTCTAAAAATAGGTATTTTAACTGATCTCTCTTCACTCTGCACTGATTCCATGCTTGACCAACAGAAGACAAGCTTACGAAGTCTCTTGCCTGCTGCCTGACTTAATGGATTTTGGATTTGGTAGTCCCCATAATCATGGCACCCAATTTCTTGAGGAAAAAAAATGTTTAAGAAAATATACACATAAATACAAAAAAAGAAAATATACACATATATAGATGTATGTACTTCTCACTGCTGTTCTCTAAAGAACATTCGGACATCACACAACTTCAAAATTATTTTAAAACTCTACAGATGGATAATACTTAAAACTAAACCTTTTATTGGTTGGACAGTGACATTTCATTCTCACACACACAAACATTGCTTTTAGATCAACTGGCTAGAGATGAGCTAAAAGTCATTTAGCCTTCATATATGTATATATACAAGTATATACATATATACACACACAGAGACAATGAGAGAATACTTTATTAGTTCCTGTAACTAAACTCATGTAGACAAGACCTTATATATTAAATACAGTATTACCCTGTACAAATTGGGGGGGGGGGATTCAGCTAAACTTTTCTAGACCATATCCTCTTTTCTAAGTGGTTCTTCTGGTCATGCACATAGTGACAAAAGTGAATTATAGGTCTATTTCCAATAAAGCCTTTAAAATAAACACATGCGATTTACTTACATGATCAAGGCCTCCCACTCAAAAAAATTTTCTTCGTTCATAGGGCCTATAGAGAAAGAAAGCAAAAAAAGAAAGAAATGCAATTTTTATTTGTAACTCTGAAGGCAACTTTGGCAATCAGGAGTCTAAAAAATGAGCATTAATACCTTACCTGCCACAATTCCTTCCGGAGGATTCAGTGTTAATTCTATAAAAGTAAAAAGTGAAAACTTTAGTAAACAGAGTAAATATTTAATTGCCATTTTCACAGAGCATCTTTAAAATGTTGCATATTTACAGATAATCATCAAAAAACCTGTTTGCACAAAATGAACATCTATTTCAGTTACATTTCTAATAGACTATATAATTCCTTATACTACAGTGACAATACATTTTGGGATCATAAATCCTTTCATTTTACAAATGAAAAAAAAAATCAAAAGGAATGACTGTCTTTTCAAACCAGAGCGGGAGTTTCCAACGTTTGCCACTATTAAGCGTATCACACATTGTATAAATCACTTGTTGATGTTCAATACCATTGTGCAAAATCTGTGGGTCACTATAGATGAAATTTAGAAACTGCTAACGACGAAATAATAATAAGAATCTAGTAATGAAACAAGCATACCTCAATAAAAATGATTTTTTAAAAGAAAGAAATTAACAAGCATAATAAGTGTATTGATAGTATCTTCTCTCCAAAATTTAAAAATCCTAGTTAAGACTTGAAGCCCAGCACTGCCACCTAGAAACTTCCATTAAAAGAGATGTCATTTCAATTCTTGAGGTAAATTTTTTAATATTTTTAATTTGTTGATGTACCAAAAACCCACTGCCACTGAATCGATGCCAACTCATGGCAACCATAAAGGGCAGCGTAGACGTGCCCCTTGGGAAACTGCTGTGCATACCCAAGCTAGCTGCAGCCCTGCAGGGATGCTACAGGAGAGGATGAGCCTGTCCTCAAGTGGTGCATCCTCAGAATGTGCTGGGCTGGTCTGAAGACCAAGGCTGTGAGCACTCCCAAGCTCTCAATGGAAACTGAGAGGGCCACCCCCACCCATCCTAGTCGGCAGTGTGCAGGAATGTGGGCCACACTGACTACAGTTCTCTGTGTCTCCTGATCGAAGTCCCTTTCTGATTTTAATTTCCAGGAGCAGTCTTCTCTCTCTCCCGCTCTCTCTTGGACTCCTGAGGTTGCAAGCTATGGGTCATTTCTTCACTCTCTCAGTCCTTACCATCAACATGCTCCTCCTCTGGGCTTCCAAAACTGTGAATCTTTACGAGAACAGGCACAATGTTCATGGGACATGAGGGAGGGGGCCTAGGGGATAAATACACTAGCCTTACACCCCATTTTCCACAGGCCCACAAAGAGGAGCATACACCAAAAAGGGCTGGCTCCATTCTTCATGCGGAGTTACTTCTTGGAACTCCCCTTATGTGACATCTCTCTTTTGGGAGACGAAAAGGTGTAGAAACTGCAGCCCCAGACCTGCTCTTCCAAAGAGAAGGGCGCAGCGACTTGCAGAGCCAGCAGGCGTTGGTTACATTTCCTAGCGGCGGTGTTACAACAGCACCACCTACTGTTAAATAAAGGGAAACAGCAAATGCAAGTGACCCAGAGGGCATGTTTCTAAGGGCCCATGTGATTGGTTTGTTTCTGACACACACACACACACACACACACACACACACACACACACACCATTTTATATCCACTGATAGTACACAACTTTCAATACAGAAACAAAAATTTAACATCAGAGAAAATAGCAAAAGCATTGTTGTCACTGAAGCCTTAATGGAAGTTGCTTAAAACTTTTTTATTAAAGTGGTAGCTTAAAATAATAGCTGCTACACAAACTTAAAAGTTGAATTCAACCTTTCACCCAGCAATTCCAACTCCAGGAACCTTTCTGACAAAATACAAAGGTAAAAATAAAAGAACCTATGTTTAAGGCTATTTTGTTTATGACTCTGTAAAACACATACACACATAAAACCCAAATGTCTATCCAGTCAAATGTCTGTCAAATTATTATATATCTACCAATGAAATACTGGACAGCTGTAAAAAAAAGGTAAGATGACTATCTCTATATACTAGTCCAGAACAAATCTCCAGAATATTATATTATTCTCTTACTGAACAAAATTATATTACTGAAAAAAAGTCAAGAGGAAGACAGTACATACAATAAGCCCTAGTTTTTAAAAACCATGGGGAAGGGGCATAAATACACATACCAATCTGTTTCAATTGGTGGGGGGGGGATGTAGATTAGACCACACACTATTTATAAAGAAAAACATGTAACGTATAAAGAGTATAAGGGACAGGAAAGCTAGTTTGACTATACTTTGTTTTATAAATCTGACTTAGGTAAAAAGTTAACATAGTTAAAACAAACTAATTTTTTTAAAGCAATTCCTGAAAATAAAATTCTTAGTGTGTCTAAATGGTGGCTTAACCACACAGCAAGAAACAATATCAAAACATACCAGTTTAAAAAGAAAAGAAAGCAATAATGACCCTGTACTGCAGGAACATCAGAAATTACCCAAATTCCTTAAAGATCAGAGCCAGGACCACCATGAAGCTGTTTCTATGAGGTGAACATCAAAATCATAGCCCCACTCCAACTTCTTCCCGCTTTCAGACAAGAGCCATTCCCCTCCATAGCATTCTCCACTTGTCTGCTGAGTGTGACAGTGAGTTGCAATGGCCACACTTAGAATTCAGGTGCCTATCAAGGAAATAGGAGCCCTGGTGGCATAGGGGTTATGAGTTGGCAAGGACTTTGAAACCACCAGCTGCTCCGCAGGGTAAAGATGGCACTTTCTACTCCCATAAAGAGTTACAGCCTCGGCGGCTATGAGTCAGCATCCACTCAATGGCAGTGAGTCTGGTTCTCTGTGTATTAAGGAAGTAACAGGATCAGCATCAACATCTTACAACTTGGGATCAAGCAGCATGTAGGCAAAATCTGGAAGGCTCCTCGGGTGCAGTACAGCTTGTTCAGGTCCTCTCAGCTGTGCGAGCAAACAGGCCCTTCTCTCTCCTGTGCAAGCGTCCCTCCTCCAGCTTCCTTATGACAAGCCTCCTTTTGGCCGTGCCCACTCCTCAGCAATACACAGCTGGTCTCCCTGCTGTTGGCCTCTCTACTGCTCACTGACCTGGCTTATAAAGTCAGTGGCTTTACTCAGGGTGAACTACATATTCCTAGCAGCAGGTTTCTGCTGCACTAACTGCCACGGGGAGCTTTCTGGGACTCTCACTGTAACTCTCAACCCTTGTGACAGCTGTTTGAAGAAATGCCTCCCCTCCTGTTCCTCTATGCCTTTGCTCTTTTTGTCTTTTCTTTTTCTCCAAAATCCCCCGGGAGGGAAGGGAACTTACATAAGCAACCCTCCCCCATCACCATCGAGCAGATCCTGACTCATAGTGACCCCATGCAGCATTTCCAATATTGTAAGTCTTCACAGGAGTAGACAATCCACCCCATCTTTCTCTTGGGGTATGACCAGTGGGGTCTGAACTGTCAACCTTAAAGTTAGCAGCCAACTGCCTTAACCCACAGTGCCACTATATGCGCAAACTTCTGGTCTTCTGTAAAGCATGACCCTCCTAGCAAGTCCACGAAGTGACCAATCCCTCCGTGGACCATCGTAACCTTGTGTGCATGAGTTTTCTCCTCCAGATTGTTCATCCCAGCTGCAAACATTTCAAATGCATACATGACCCAACCACCGTATTTCGGAAATTGATCAATATTCTCCTTATATGTAAAGCAAAGATGTGTGCCAACCTTGTAAAACCAAAATTTATATAATCTAATGTTCACTAGTAGTTACACAGAGAACGATGATTAATACACTATATACAACATGAACCTACTGCCATCAAGCTGATTCCACTCAGTGACCTTATAGCTCCTTAGGGTTTCCAGAGCTGTCAATCTTCACAGGAGCAGACAGCCTCACCTTTCTCCTGCCGGGGGTTTAGAGCACTACACTGGGGGTCCTAACGGCAACGCAGACATTTAAATAAATAAATAAAGGCAACCATAGATGCTAATAGAGTATGGCCACAAAAGTATAATGTTACAACAACAAAAAGAAACCCAACAACCAAAGTATAGAAAATTGATTACAGTGCAAAGTCTTCGTGTTTAAAAAAAAGGGGGGGGGGGTGATGTGGGGAAATTTTCTGGAAGGACATACAAGAAATTCGTAAGAATGATTCTCTGACCAAAAAATACTTGTGAAATAATGTAGGGTAACAGCTCAATTTTAACTCTCATACCTTTGATACTACTTACATTTTTACCATCTCATAATTTTTTCAAATAAAAAAACCCTAGAAAATATAAAAAGAAACAATGTTCTGTACACTAACAAAAATTAGTGCTCTATTCCAGAAACATTGCAGTTTAAACAGAAAATGGTTCACAGAGCCAATTCATTTGAAAAACATGTTTCCACGGGAAAACATCTTAAATGTATCCTCTTCACAAACTCCTACCTGCCTATATCACAAACCAGTCCCTCAATCATTAGTAAAATATCTACTCATAAAAGATCTAAAGAGAATTTATAAAGAATAGTGCAGTTGTGGCTTCATTTTCTGGTGGTGGTGGTGGTTTCGTAGAAGTTGCGCATAAAGACTGAAAGGACAGTTCCACAAGACTTATTCTAAAACTCAGCAAGCAGCCTGAGGACTAAGACATCAGGCCAAGGTGAAGTAATAGGGATCAGAATTAATTTCTGGATTGCATGAAGCAAAAAAAAAAAACAACAGACAAAATGCGTGTTAGTCTGGGTAGACTAGAGAAACAAATCCATGGACACACATATGTATATAAGGGAGAGGTTTAAATACAAGAGGAACATTGAGAAAACATTCCAACCTAGTCCAGTCCAGTCCAAGGCCATAAGTTTGATATCAGCCCATATGTCCAATTTCAATCTATAAAGTCCTCTTCAGACTCACAAAACACATGCAATGAAGCCAAACGCAGGACGATCACAAGCCAGTGGGTAGAAAGTCTTTGGATCCAGGGGCGTTGTAAACATCTCAGTGCTGGCAGGGGTCTCTCTGTGGCTTCTCTGGCTTCGGAGGTCTGGTTGTATCCATGTGGCTTGTCTTCTGCAATGTCTCCCAGGGAGTCGCAGAGAGAAAGAGGTGTCTTCCACCTC